CAAAGCTAGGACATGAGTTTTAATCACAATCACAAAACTGCATTTTAAAAAAAATTAAGATTTGACCTCACAACTCATAATACCCCGTCTGAATGCCAGCAACACCAGTTGTTCCTTATGTAACCAGATAATCTCTTGAAATGTTTTCGGCTGCAGTGCAGATTATGAACACCGAGGACGGAGGTAGAATGATTCTCTCGTCAGAAAAAGATACCTCAAGTCCCATTTGCTCTGAAAGAGGGACTGTTATTTTAGAGAAAGAGTTGTAACCGGGAGCTCTGCTGGTGTCTACAAAGAATGTTCCTACTGACGTTAAGCAGAGGTCATTTATGGAAAAATCACAAGTGCTCTGCTCTCCATGGCATCACCCTGTGCGCATACGCTTACTGACAAGGGAATGCAAGGCAGGAACATCTTAACTGCTCACCTTTGGTCTAAAAAGCTGGCATTCCAACATGCAGTTGAGGAAAACAGGAGTATGATGTCACTAGATGGGGAGGAGTCAAGAGATTTGAAATCAGCATCAAAATCATAACAAATATATTTTATACAGTGTGTGCTTTAACAGATTTGATATCACAACTGACCTCATTTAATAAAAAAAAAATTAATTGCAAAAGAATTCTCTCTCTTTTTTTGCAATTTAATAACTTCCTTCACCTCTGAAACTTTTATTTTTGCGGAATGTATTAAACTGATCAAATGTGATATTTATAGTGTTACAAAAAGATTACCATTTCAAATAAATGTTTTTTGTTTTACTTTCTATTCATCAAAGAATCATGGATAAATGTATCAAGGTTTCCACATAAATATGAAGCAGCACAACTGTTCTAAACATTCACAATAAGAAATGTTTATTGAGCATCAAATCAGCATATTAGACTGATTTCTGAAGGATCAAGTGACACTGAAGACTGGAGTAATGATGCTGGAAACCCAGCTTTGATCACAGCAATAAATTACATTTTAAAATATTTTCAATTTTTCTTTAATTTGTAATAATAACAATATTTCACAATATTACTTAACTTTTTACTGTATTCATTATTAAATAAATGCAGTCTTGGTGGGCACTTCTATCAAAAAACATAAAAAAATCTAACAGACTGAATGATAGTGCATGTATGTAAAATACTTTGCAATGCAGCTCATTTTGTCTTTGAAATAATAAAACGATGCCAAGTGGTAGATTTCAGCGAGGCCTCTGTCATAACTATAGTCAAACCAGATAATGTCACACACTCACTTGGTGATGCTTGAATCGCTGTTGTCATGGAGCTTCATCCTCCAGCTGTCCAGACTCTCAGAATTAATCACAGCGATGCTTTTGGTGGTATTCATAATTCGGAAATCCTCAGGACAAGATGAACCCTGTTCTCAAACACACAAACAAACACTTCGATACATACTTTATGACCACAGGCCAAAGTGACCACAGTAAACTGCAAATGTAAACACGACAAGACTGTTTTAGCATTAACCGGTCAAATTCCTAATTGTCATATGCTGAAACTAAAGAAGAGATCAAATAAAACAAATCACATCAATGAGGGCAACATCAGCAGTTTTTTGTCACATAACTCCATTACATTGATGTATCTGCACCACCATGTGGATAAGAGCAGGTACTGACCTCCTAGCAGTCACTTTTTTATTTTCACAATAGCAAATGTAAAACTGCATAAATGTAAATATCAAAACCACACAGAAGCTAGTAGTATGAGCAGGCACTGACTATACTTTATAATTTGTGAAAAGATACTGAAGAGTGCACTAATTTGTTGAATATTCCTGTAAAGAAAACATATCCAAACAATCAATACAGCATCAGCTGTGGTGTTTCATGACACTCCAGTGAAAATCAGCATGGTTACCTCCTTAGTAGTCGACAACAACAGGAAATTGTGATCGCCTCCACTGTGAATTTTACCAATGGTGTAGCACTCGGCTTCTGTGGACAAAGAACATTCAAAGTGGTTCCTTTTTTGTACAGTAGTTATTTAATAACAATGTATCTGAGTGTTAGTCCTCAGTGTGTGTTTTCGACGAGTTCAAACTGTTGCCTAAGAGAAGCAACAATAGTAGAATGGATATCAGGCACTTCTCTGCAAAATGCATACTTACTTTATGTTAAAACACAGTTCAATCATTTAGCATAGAGGTAATATCAGCATACAGGTCAGACGACTTTATAAATTGAATTTATAAAAAGACTTAACTCACAAATTATTACTATTTTTACACAAACCAAATTGTGCATTCAACCTCCTGAGGGGTCATCAAAACAAAACTTCTCTCTCTCTCTCTCTCTCTCTCACACACACACACACACACACCCACACACACACACATCTGGTTTGCTATCCTTGTGGGGACTCTCCACAGGCGTAATGCTTTTTCTACTGTAAAGACCGTATATTCTATTGCCCTACACCTAAACCCACCCCTTACAGGAAACTTTGTGCATTTTTAGATTTTCAAAAAACTTAATTCTGTGTGATTTATTAGCTTGTTTACCCATGGGGACCCCCTTGAGTCTGTGTGTATTCAGGTTCAAGTCCCCACCAGAATAGAAAAACAGGTACACACACACATCAAGGCCTTTGAAAGATTCAGTCATCAGATGCATCACAAACCAAACAACAGATCCTCTTCAATGCTATCTATTTATATCTGACCATTCCTGCATGGACATACGGTCTTTATAACAATCCCTATCACTCCAGTTAAAGGACTCATAATTCAGTCCCTCAAAATAGCAGACCCTCTATATATGCTTCAGATGGAAACCCATTAAAGCACGATTCCGCAAAACAAAACACTCATCTTAACTATGGTGAAATTATATGGAGCTTTTTCATTCATTATAGCCGTGTCCTAAAATGCACACGAGTGTGCTCAAATGTACCTCTATTCAAAAAAAACAGTTGATAAGTCTGAACCGTTTTATTCTTTTAATTATATTTATTTATTCAAAAGGAATTCACATTAAAGCTCTAATATAAATGTTAAATACATACTTAGGCATGAAAAACATCTTAGGGCCAGATTTACTAAACAGGGCAAATTAACATGAGACAGCAATCCTATAAAAGTTCTGAGGTCGATCTACTGACAATGCGCAAATAAAAGAGCACAGATGCAGCCAGATCATTTTCATTATGAACCATCCTTTAAGGTTCCAACAGAGTTAGAAGAATAATGAAACTGTAATGATCATGCACTCGTCAGGTCAGATAAATTGTAATTAACATTTGGCTTGTTATACTTTATTTTGATTATTTATTTAATCCATTCACAATATACGACAATGGCCTGGTGATCATGTGAACATACTTGTGTGTGTATTTCCGATGCACAGGGGCTGGATGTTTCTGACAGGAAGTGGGCTCTTAGCATTTCCTCTGAGGCCTGTACCCAGCTGGCCCTGAGTGTTGCAGCCGAAAGCGTAAACCAGACCAGTGGAGGGCACGAATGCCAGGGTGTGGTGCCTGTGACGTACACACAGAGGTGTGCTGTCAAATATCCCATCTCATACTTATCTGATGACTGCATGCACAAAATGAGGTATTTATTAACCAGACTAACTATTGCATGTTGAAGGCTTGTTTATGATTCATTTTCATTTATGGAGTATAATTACTATTTGGCAAGAAATGGCCTTGTAATAAGTGCAATGTAAATCACTTTGGATAAAAGAGTGTGCTGAATGATTATTACTCAATTAAAAACATGTTTTATTCTTCTACACCATATTTTTGTTCCTGCAATTTTTGTTACACTGCAAAATACATGGCAGCATTCAACAGTTTGATTAATTTCAATAATTATCTACTGTATACCAATGGTTAACATATGGCTTTTCAGTGGATGCTGATCTCCAGAGATCGGGATGGTATAAAATATATGATGATATAATTTATTGCGCATTAATTTATTTTTAAACGTTTTAAAATAATTTGTAATAATTTATCATTTACACTACTGTTAAAAAGTTTGGGAAGATTAAAAGATTTTTTAATGTTTTTGAAAGACTATCATATGTTCACCAAGGCTGCATTTATTTGATCAAAAATACAGTAAAAACAATAACATTGCAAAATATTATTACCATTTTTAAAAAAGATTCTATGTGAATATATTTGAAAATGTAATTTATTCCTGTGATGGCAAAGCTGAATTTTCAGCATCATTACTCCAGTCTTCAGTGTCACTTGATCCCTCAGAAATCATTCTAATATGCTCCTAATCTTTCATATTATCAATGTTGAAAATGCATGTGCTGTGTAAAACCATGATATGTTTTTCAGAATTATTTGATAAATAGAAATTTCATTTGTTTAAAATTGAATTATTTTATAACATTATAAATGTTGTCACTGTCACTTTTGATCAATTGAATGCATCCTTGCTAAATAAAAATTAATATTGCATTAATACATTTTTTTAATAAAACTGTATTAATACACAATATTTACTCAAAAATACAAAAAAATATATATGTGCATTATCCATACGGTGTTAGTATATTTTGAAAATGACACAAATTAAAGCTAACACTAAAGGAAATCAGCACATTCACCAATCTAAAACAGATGGACACAGAAATGTGCATCTTGTCTAGTATGTATACTTACCGCCCACAAGCGATCTGAGACACTTCAGTGCCCATGAGCTCCATAACTCTGCGTGGAAGAGGCTCGTTTCTGGTGGAATCGTGGCCCAGCTGTCCTCTTGAACCATTTCCAAATGTGAACAGACCCCCTTCCTAAAGCAAACACAGCACAAACAGCAATGCTTCAATGCTCAGGACTAAAAATGACAAATACAACTGAACTGCAGTTCAACAAAAATTCTTATCAAAACATTTTCACACAGTAACTAAATGAGAGTAACGATTAAACTAATGGATGTTAAAATAACTGCAGCAATTAGACTCAAATTCAAACCTTAAAATTTGGATAAATATGTAAAATATTGCTAAATGGCAACACTGTCATGCATTAAAAATCAGGTTGAATGAGTATGTTTTTCAGCACACTGCTATACTTTGGCTGTATGATCAATACCTTTGTCAAGGCAGCGGTGTGCTCCTCTCCACAGCTGATGTACACCACCTTCTGTGAGCGCAGGAACTTGATGTGACAGGGAACAGCCCGATCTGTGAGATCACGGACAAAAATTATGCCACTCTTTTAATCCTATTCAATTTGGACTGACAGACAACTCCTATATAAGTAAAAGTAAAGTTACAAGAAAAGTCCACTGAAGAATTCAAACCAGCAACCTTTTGGTTACCTGATTTATAACCTCTAGGTCAGTGTGCGTTTTACCTTGCTCGTCATTGAGGCCTAGTTGCCCGGCGCTGTTCTTCCCCCAGCCGAACACGGCTCCAGAGAGCGACAGGGCGAAGCTGTGGTCTCCTCCAGCGCTGATCTGAGCCAGTGGGATCCCACACAGAGATCTGAGCGGTTGAGGAGACAGAGTGCTTGGCTCCCCCTTCCCTAAACCCAGCTGACCGCTGGAGTTCTCTCCCCATACAAACAACTGACCATCTGAGACGAGGAGGACAGCGGGAAACCTCATTTACTGGCACAGCAGAAGTACAACAGAAAACAAAACCATTGATATATCAGTGAAAGTCTGCTCTTACCTTTCGAAAGTGCTATGCAGTGTTGTTTGCCACACATTACTTGTGAGATTCGATGCTCGCACAATTTTTTAATCAACCTAAAGAAATACATAAACTTATTTAAGAAAGCAAGTTCTGGACTACATCTCCTAACAATGTAGCTGGTTAACCAACTGCTAAATAACAATACATACAAAATACATAAATATATACATATGCATAAATGAAAACGAGGTCCACATGGAATTAGATTTTTTATTTTAATTATTTATTTAGTTAGTTAGTTACGGTGCAGAAGCTGCAATGACTAACTAACTAACTGAGAGTTGCAGTTTCTGCTCCGACAGTGGGGGGGAAATCTGCAAATTTAGTGGAATGGATTTAACACTTTGATTCATTAATAATTAAATTCTCAATTCAATCAAATTCAAGAGAAAAAAACAACATCTAAATGGAACAATTATTCTCAATTTATTTTATAAATTATAAAATAATTATATATATTTTATATAATAATCAAAATGATGTATTTTGAGAGAGTTACACATCTGTGCAAAATCCACTACAGAAGGTATTATATAAATAAATATTCATATTCCAGAAGTACTTGCTGCATAACCACTTTTCATAACACATTTTTAATAGTTTCTGCACTGATTGTGGGGGGAAACCTGCAATTTTGTGGAATGGATTTATTTATTTTTATTTTATTTATTTATTTTATGCATTAATGAATTACTGGATGCATGGATGATTAATGGATGAACTAATTAAGGAGAAAATAATAATTTTTTTTTTCTTAAAAACACAAACATGCACATTCACAATTATGTTTTAAAAATAATTAAATTAAATTGAAATAAAATAATTATAGAATGTGTTGTATAATAATACAAATAATTTCAAGAAAGTACAAAATATGTACACCACTTCCTCAGTCATGTTGATTTCACGTTGTCATAAATATACAAACAAAATCGCATATAAATAGGAAAGTCATTTAGTATTATGTAAAAGGGTCAAAGGTCCAAGCAGGTGGATGCATTGTTGTAATTTAATGTTGTAAAGGGTTACATATGGTAACTACTATATGTTAAATGGACCTGAGAGTACTGCACAATTATTGGTAGCTGAAAGCATTATCAAAGTATCCAAAATATTAAATAACAAAATACTTGGTTTACTGACAGACCAAGAATCTCACAGTTAAATGCCAGTGGCCTTTATAACGTCACCACCATGTAACCAAATAAATAACCCTCAATCATTAACTCGCTCTGACCACATTGTGCTTGTGAAATTATTCAAATAACTGAGACGACAAGTGATGTTCACATTCAAATAAAGGGCAGCGTGTCAGGAAATGTTGTTTCATCTGTTTTGGGTTATTCTGCAGTACCAGAGCCAACATTTAATCCACAACAGAACAGAAGAGCTTTCAGTAATAGCACATTATAACTATCATTAAGTCCAAATCTCTTGTGTTCGGGGGACCCCTGCGGTGTGAAAGGCCCCATGCAGGGACCCCCTCACGAGCTTAGGAGGCAATTAAATCCTCATTAGATTTCCCTATCTAGAGCAGACGTTACAATGAAAAGGAAGCAGCATCTGAAAAAGCATTCATACCACAAAAATAGGAACGTATAAATGTAATAACAGGAAGCAATGCATCACATGCTTGAAACTTGACTGTTCTCATGCACAGCTGACAGAAAACAAAACAGAAAACACTGAATTATGAGTTTGCAGATCACCATATTTAAAATGTTAAAGAAAAGTGTTTTGAGTGAACTATTCCCTTAACTCTGCTTTTGACATTTTACTCAGACTGCTCTCATTTATGAGTTTATAAAACGTTATTTATTCACAAAACTTTTGCATAACAAAGTGCTGTAACGTTTTACCTGGGCACGCGGACCGCCTCTTCAGCCGCACCCAGACCGAGCTGCCCTCCTTCTCCGGCCCCCCAGGCAAACACCTGCCCCTGCTCGTTCACCACCAGAGAGTGAGCTTGCCCACACGACACGCCGGCGATCTTCTGAGCATCCAGAGCTCCAACCAGCTCTATGAGAGACACCCACAAACAGCCATTACATTAAAATCACTCTCCAGCCTTGATGCTTACACAGACATCACTCATATCCCATTTACAGATTTACTACAGACACTGCTAGACTTGCTTTGTGCAGTAAAAGGTTTGTGATGGCTATACTGTTTTTGGAAAGATTACAATATTAGAAATCCCTGTAACATAACATATAACATTTATAATGTTACAAAAGATTTCTATTTCAAATACATGCTCTCCTTTTGTAATCTCTACGCGTTTAAAGAATCATGAAAAAAAGGTTTCAACAAAAATATGGTGATGATGGGCAGTGTCTAACAAGTAAAACAAGATGTAGACACCTAAGTGACAAAGCAAAGTTGTGTGGCATCAAAACAATGTCACATGCAATCTTTTATTATCTTACCAAGCTGTCAGCAATACAGCACTGGCTTAAAGGAAACCAAAAATAAAATTATGGTAAGACAAAACTGAATGCCTTTTTAACCAAAACAGCAGCGGAAGAAACTTTCATTCTCCAGAAACAAAATGTAGGGCATTACAAACTAATGCAAAAACACACGTTTCTCACAAGAGCTTTTCTCTATAATCTGCTATAATAATGATGAGGGGGGAAGAGAATAATTGCTCAACATCTGTTAAACATTGTATGCTTAACATAGTAAATAATAGCTAATACAGCTACTAAATAAATAAAACTAAATAAAGAACAAAACTTCTTATTATCTTATTAGCACAGACAGGTAAGAGTCTGTCTGCTGCTTGGAAATGTTTTCTTATAAACCGGATTAGCAACCCTTGACTGGTAAGTCCCAGTGCATGCTGGATAAAACAAGATCTGCTGTCATCACTGACTGTTAATGCAGTTTAATACTAGCATGATCAAACAAAAATGTTTTAATAGGACTAAATCCAGTGCAAATGATTAGTTTGCTGCCTCATTTCTAAGAAAAATGCCAATTTGACTATATGTGTGCCTATATATCGTGCTTACATGCAATTGTTTATGTCACATTGTTTGAAAGGACGTGACATAAAACTTCAGCAGCGACATGAGAAATTATTTTTCCATGTCGTAAAGTATGTTCAAACTGAATTCACGGCAAAGGTGCATTTTAACATTAGAATTTTGAAGCATTATAAACGGGTTCTAAATGTTTGAAAATAATATCTGTGGAATTACAGGCGTGGTATCTAATATTTAGCATCAGCAACAAAAGCATAATGTCTGAATCTATTTGTTGGGGCATCATTGGTGCTTTTAGAGAGATATGAGCATCAGTTTGTGTCAGTTACCTGGTCTCCAGCCTCCCTTGTCATGGCCCAGCTGACCACAGCTGTTGGAGCCAGAAGCGTAAACGCTCCCATCATGCAACAGGAAGAGTGAGTGATGGCTGCCGCACGCAACTTCTTTAAGACCCCTCCCGTCGAACATGCAACAGCTCCTCGGCTCAAAGACAGACGCCTCAGACGCACCGATGCCCAGCTGACCCGAGGCACTGCTTCCCCAGCACAGCATCATGATTCACACATAAAGAGGGTGACAGATGGAAGGATCCGGAATAAGGGAGAACTCCTAGGCGGTACCGCCTTGTCGTCTCCGCCTGTAAGTGACGGATCTGGAACAGAACAAAAAGTCTGGCATGAGATGCTGGAAAGCAAATAGGTGAGAAATCAGTGGAAGGGAAAGGAAGAGGTCACACCCCATTCCTCTTTACATATCGGACAGAATGCAGATCATAAACCACCTGGTGTGGTTAAATAAATCCACAGATTTACTAATCCATCTGTCTAACTCCTCCAAAACCTACTGAATCATCACAATTCATTTGATTCACTCTGCAAAACATGTACTAATAAAAGTGGGCGTTTCTGTCTAGGCAGGGGACAGTTCTGTGTTCTCAGTTATTATACTAGGGCTGGCTAATATATAAAATATCCACAATTTTGTAAGCAATATATAACCATGCAACATCATGAATATTCAAATTATTTGAATGTGCTTGGCGCGTTCCGAAAGTTGAATTTATGGTAAAGGTACGTTCTGAACATTAGAATCAACTTTTGGAGCATTATAAATGGGTTCTAAACGTAAACGAGTTCGAAAAGTTTTCTAAATGTAATTTATGGGGAATCATAGGCGTGTCCTGAACATTCATATCTTATTTTTTGACAGGTTTCTGAATATAGGCCTAAGTATAAAAAAAAAAATAAAAAAAAAGGTAAGTTCTGAACATTAGAAATCAAAATTTGGACCATTCGAATTATGACATTTTTGAAGCGATATACATTGCATGCATTCCGAGCATTGGACTTTTTGCATATTACTGTTGCGTTCTTCAGAATCAGAATCAGAATCAGAAGAGCTTTATTACCAAGTATGTTTACACACACAAGGAATTTGACTTGACGACAGGAGCTTCCAGTGTAGAAGAAAGTACAAACATAGTGCAGACATACATAGGAATAACACAGTAGGGATGTAATATAACACTAATATAATAAAAAAAAGGAAAAATTTAATAATGTACTATATACAGAAATAGAAGTATAGGAAAAAATGTATAAGTTTAATGTTCTTAAACTTTGAATCGAATTCTAGAGCAAATGTATTGAAGGCAAAGCTACGTTCTGAACATTAGATTTAAAATTGTAATGGATAAATTATGAAATGTATAAATGGCTACTGCTGAACACTCGAATACATTTTCTGTAGAATCATATGAGTGTTCTGAAAATTCGAATCTAATGTCTGGAGAATCATAGGCGTGTTCTGAATGTTCGAATCTCATTTTTGAGCATCATGAACAAATTCATAACATTCGAATCGAGATGTTGGGATGTCATAGGCGCGTCTGAAATATGATTAAATTATTGGAGAGATATGTGCGTTCCGAACATGAAAGTTCCGACATTCAAATCGATTTTATGGACGTCATGGGCACTTTCCGAACCTTCTATTCGAAGATACTTATGATGGCCATAAATGCTCTCTAGATTTAAAAACACTGCAGAAGTCTTCCATATGTGGGTCCAATCTGAGTTCGGCCTGTAAGAACAAGCCTGACGCATTTCATGTCTTTAGCATGTCAAATTATGATATAGTTCATATACTGCAGATATTTAATACTCAGACATCTCATCGGACTGTACATGCGTTACAGTAGCTCAATACTAATATTCAGAATAATGTCAGGACAAACTGACACAACACCGCACTGAATCTCACCTCGCAAATACAGTCTGACACAAGTCAAAAATAAACATGTATTTAGGGAGGTGATTTAAAGCAGATAATGTTACCTGGTAATGTGCATTTCGTCTCCTGTTTATTTTGACCGTGTATTACTGCAATGGTTTCAGTTTAATGGTTTCCGACAAAAACAAGGAAGTTACGACTCAGATTAGGGCGTCACTGATCACGTGCCTTCTGTCAAGCAGCTCTAATAGCGTTTGAGTCACTAGAGGGCGACAATGAGTATAGCTTTGTCAATGTACACGTGGCCCTGATAGTTTATTAACAAATGCAGTGTTGGAGATTGATTTGATTTAAAAATTGTAGCATCAGTAAATGTACCCGAAATAGCCAAGCACAAGTCAGATGTAAAAAGCCAAGATTTGATAATATAAAATAACATTCTTATGTTTAAACTCTAGTGCATTACGGTTAAAATGTGGAATTTTACGTAGCTTCAGTCGTTGAGTCGATTGTAGTGGAGATGAAAAAAAAATCCAACTAAAAACTAGTTGGCACAAATCTTGATTTTAAGACTGATTTCTACATTGGAGAAGAGAAGAGAAAAGGCCGAAAAATCCACACCTTTTCTTATTTTCAATTGTAATATTTTCATTATTTAATATTGGTTTGAAAAAAAAATAAAAAATAGATAATAATGATAACAATGAATAATAATAATAATAAATAAATAAATCAACATAAAATATCAGTATTTTAATATAAAGAAAAATCCACACTTTTTCTTATTTTTAATTTGAATATTTTCATTATTTAATCTTGGTTTGAATTTTTTTTTTAAATAGATAATAATGATAACAATGAATAATAATTATAATAATAATAAATAAATCAACATAAAATATCAGTATTTTAATATAAAGAAAAATCCACACATAAATAAATAAACAAAATATCAATATTTTAATATTAAGAAACGTTTATTTTAAATTAAGTTATAAATACAACTCATCACAGAAATTACAGCATTTAGAAAATAAACCTCTCTTATCTTCCTCTGAAGAGAAATATTTCTCTGGTAGTGGATATAAATGTAAACTTTGTATTTTACCAAATTTCTTTTTCACACATTAAAGCAGAAACTGCTTTATCACCCAGTGATTCAGCCATCCCCACTCTCCCTAATATATTAAGAAACAGTCCCTTTTACAGTCAAGGAAGATCAAGGGTCAAACTTTAGATCGTAGTTAGTGTACTCCATCTGCCTCATTCTTCCCAGAAGCCCCTCTTGTGGTTGATGGCTTCGATTACTTTAGCCTTGAGTGTTTCCTTGTTCTGATAAACAGGAAGGTCTAGCAGAGAATGGCAGGTGAGGGCCTGTGGTAGGTGGTCCTGAGTAAAGCTGAACATTTCATAAGAAAAAGAAAAAAAAACAGAAACCATACATACACAAAAATCACATACTCTAGCTGGCCTATATAAAATCATAAACAAGGAAGAAACTGGTGAGGTTCCTCTGCATAAAAATGCAGATCCGCGTATGTGCACCTGGTTAATGAGTCTGTAATTTGGGTCTGTATAAAAGTACAAAAGGTGTTTCCTGTATTTGAACTAGTTTATGAGAACCTTAAGAGCACGCCTCAGCCTTTAGAGTACAGAGAGCCCTTATATGGAGATGGTTTGTGCATGTTTTATGCAAATGACATGAGAATCAAGCAAACTAACCGTGAAGTACGTATCCATTTTCTTAACATCATCGCTGTAGTCCAGGATGTACTGCAAACTCCTGAGAACATGTTTCAGATTGATTAAAAAATTTTACTCAATATGTGATAGATGGCAGCACATACATAGAGCATGGAAATATATTTTGGCAGTCATACAAAAAAATACCTAGAGAATCAAGGAAACCTTAATTGTAAAAACACTCACTTGCCAAGAACCGGACTAAACTCTATCAAGTCTTCTAGAGACGGTTTGACATTGAGAAGTTTCTTGAACAGGGCTAAAGGAAAAGGCAGATGCACTACGGATGTGTTGTTGAAGGCCAAGCCACACAGAATCCCAAACAGGAAGTACTTATCCTTCTCCACGCTGAGCTGGTGTGGGATGATAAGTGGTTAAGGCAAAAGAGAACACAATAAAAATTTTAAATAAAAATGGGAAAACACAAAAGCAGCATTAAGTATGTAAACTCGCTAGACTGACGTGTTTGACTGTTGCGCTGACACAGCATTCTAAAAACACCGAGTTCAAGTTAAAAGAAGTTCAACTTAAAAAAAAAAGTCTTGAGACCTTACATTTTTCCCAATTCCACTGTCTGCGTCTCACATTTTTTCAAAGCAAAAGCATGTTCTGTGTGAATGGCCCTTTAAGTATGTAACTAACCTTTGTTACCACTATTTACATCTTTAGCATGACCTACTGAAAAACATCTTTGCCTTACCTTTGGGGGGAACCAGCCCATAGTGTTGCTATCATTGTACATGAGCAGCTGAGACTCTGGTGCACAAAGCTCTTTAAACACGTTGAGAAAAAAGTCCCTCTTGTTGACATCTGTTCTTTTGCTCACATCCTCCTTGTAAAACACCTATGTTAGATACCCAAAAGAATTCGTTCATACTGCAGCTCGTAACTGTTTGTATGATGTTGTATGTCTTGGTTTGAAAATAAAAACTACATGCAAAAATATTCTGTATGTTACTGAATGAAAGCTTCACATTGTTCTCTTTCCTTACCGACAGCCAACATTCTCTGAGATGTTGCTGAGTGGCACTTCTCAGGTGATGGAAACAATCCTCCAGCAGAGCTGTACGTCTCAGAATCAGA